GCAGGCGGAAGCCGATCTTAAAACACCAGGCACAGGCGGAAGAGCTCTCGACGATAGGCTGACGAAAGCTGAGATGAACAAAGTGAGAAAAACCATCAGTCCAGATGGAACCGGTGATTTCAAGACAATCAAAGAAGCCATCAACAGCATCCCTCTGTACAATACCAAAAGAATCGTACTGATAATCAAACCAGGAATTTACGAGTAAGTGATTTTTAAAAGCTTCCAACACAAAATTTCATGTAATTCCCCTTAGAATTCATGAAAAAATTCTTTAATATAACTGGATATTAGTTAACAGAATTCTTAATCAATTAAAACTTAATATAACATAGATTTTAGATTCTAAGTTCAATACCTAATTAATAACTATTTAAATAAATTTAATAATAATTTTTTTCATCAAGAATAAAACATTTTAAATTTAAATTACATAATATATAAGTAAAATAAGTTAAATTAAAAAATGAAATATTATTACCTCTGCAATTCAATGTCAATAAAAAAGGTTCAATACTTGACTAAAATTGCCAGAACTATAATTGATGTGGTACAACGGTTACAGTGACGACGTTGTCAGAAAAGCAAAGTTAATTGTAACTCAAAATATTAATTTCAGGGAAAAAATTACCGTTCCTAGAACATTGCCATTCGTTACATTTTTAGGTGACGCAAGTAACCAACCGACGATCACCGGAAATGACACGGCATCGTCGTTTTCTGGGAGAGGCGGGACGCCATTGAAGACATTTCAAAGCGCAACTGTTGCTGTGGATGCAGATTATTTCATTGCTATTAACATTAAGTTTGAGGTAATTGAAACCTGAATTTTTATTTCTTTCTACAAAGAAGTTAATGGTATACAAACTCGACTAAACTCTTGTTAGTATCAATTAATTATGGTTAGAATACAGCTCCTCACGAGGTCGGATCAAAGGGAACTCAGGCGGTGGCGCTTCGGATATCGGGAACCAAAGCTGCATTTTACAATTGCAGTTTCTACGGCAGCCAAGACACCCTTTACGATCACAAAGGTCTTCACTATTTCCACAACTGCTTCATCCAAGGATCCGTTGATTTCATTTTCGGCTACGGCAGATCACTCTACGAGGTCAGTTTTATTTGGGCTTCGGCCTGCATTTTCATTAAAAAAAAAAAAGAAACTATCTTTTTATCTTATTCTTAAGTATTTTTAATAGAAAAATTAAAATTAAAACGTTTTAACATTAATAATATCGAGACATCCAATCCTAATTACATAATAAATGAAATTTAAGTGAGCGTTTCATTCATCATGTAATTCTAATTAAAAATCTTGACATTATATAATGTCAAAAAATCCTATTTTTTCACATCCTCATTTTCAAATGGGCTATTTATGTGCAGAGGTGCTATTTGAATTCTGTGGCCAAGAAGGTGGCCTCTCTGACGGCTCAAAAGAGGTCCAATTCCTCGTTAGCAAGTGGGTTTTCTTTTAAGGACTGTGTGGTGAATGGGAGTGGGATGGTTTACTTGGGAAGAGCATGGGGGGATTATTCAAGGGTTGTTTTCTCTTACACTTACATGGAGAAGATAGTTCTTCCCCAAGGATGGAGTGATTGGGGTGACCAAAAGCGTGACTCGTAAGTGCAATGAAGTTTTTTCCTTTTTTATTTTAGAAGTAAGGTAATATTTAACGTTAATTTATGTATATCAAAATAAATTTATCTTTCTAATTAAATTAGATATTCAAAGACAAGTCATTTACATTAAAAGTAGGGATTCGTTAGTAAAATTAGCTATTGAAATTCCCAATGTTTTGGTGAAAACTGAAGTGGGTTGGTTTTTTTTTTTTTTTTTTTTTTTTTTTTTTTTTTCATTTTGCAGAAGGGTGTATTATGGAGAATACAAGTGCAGTGGGCCGGGAGCCAACTGGACAAGAAGAGTACCATGGGCCAGGATTCTGACAGACAAAGAGGCCTGGCCCTTTATAGGGACTTATTATGTTGAAGGCGAAACTTGGCTCATTAATCCTTGACAATTCGCCTTTTCTTCCATTGTATTTTTTGGTCTAAAACTTATTCAAAATTGTATGTACCAAGCAGCATGTATCCCTGTTTATTATACTACCATCTAAAAGCAAGAAAAAAAAAAAAAAAAAAAGAAAAAAAAAAGGTTTCTCTGCTTCTCGTCTTGGACCCAAGGAATGACCAATGGCATTGCCTCTTATTGCTCTATAGACTGCAAAAAGTAAAAAAAATTAATAATTTCGGTACGATTTCCCCGTTGAAATCATGCCAAATTCCTCCAAACACAATAAAAATACTGGTTCCGTATGTAATGCGATTGGAAAAACAAGATTAATACTCTAAAATAAAATATTACTTCCACCTAGACTCTTATTTGTCTTCGGAGTTCATAATCATGTTCAACTTGGTCTATCATTCTGCGTGTGAGAGAAATGGAAAAGTCCATAGGTCAAACCTTAAATTGAAGAATTCACAAATGATATCTTATTATATGTCCCGTATGAAAATGTTGAAATTTGAGTTAAACTTTAAAAGTTGTACTCGTCTTTTAAAAGACTAAAAGCAAAGCACAAACCAACTTTTTATGGTAGAGTCTTGCTATTAAGTGTGAAATTGATAATTTTTATTAAATTGTAAAGAATTTTTTATTTTGTTGTCTAAAGTATATTGTATTGTAAAATAATTTTCAACATCAAAGAACTTACCTTTAATCAATGATTTAAATTGTATAATCTAGTATAATTTGGACTTTATAACATTTTTTGAATTGTGAGATGCTTTATAATTATTTTATGAGAAAATGAAAAAAAAAGATATTTTGGCACTTCAAATGTCATGATTTTTTGAAGATTATTTAAATACTCTTAATAAGTTATTTTTTT